ACCCCCGCCCCTCTCTGTCTTCTGTCTGCCCTGGTAGCAGGTAAGGCTTGGGCCCTCGCGCCCGTTAGCGCCGCGCACGCGCGCGGGATACCCTCCCTCGCGCGGATGCACTGAGGCCCTTACCTTGCATGCTCCCACTCCGGTCCTCACGCCCTTCCTTGCCCCTGGTGTCTCCGCAACTTAAGGTCCGCTCCTTTCCCTTGCCGTTGACCTCCAACCGCGCGGGCCTGGCGCCATTTTGGATGACTCGTTGGGGGAGGGCGCCTGGGAGCTGGCGAAAGTCAAGTGTCAGAGTGCTCATTTCACCTGTTCTGACTCAACCCTAACAAACGCTCGTTTCTTACTCTCTTGCGCTTTCAGAGTTATCACAATCCCCAGATTCCCCTCCAACCTCTGCCTTCTCCTCTTATCTTGACTCCGTGTCTTCCTTATCCTGAAACCTCCTGACTTCAGGATCTCAGCAATGGAAATAGGGGATCATTTAAAGCCTCCAACCCCTCTAGACAGCACCCCTCTATTAAAAAAGTAAACCGTGAACGTGGTAGAAGTGAACAAAGCACTCCCTTCTGGCTGTGATCTGGGAGAGCTGTTGCAGAAAGGAAGCCGGTTTCTTTGGAATCTTCGGTTGTCTCCCAGTACCGTTCTCTTCCTTTCACTGCGGTGAAGTTGGGGGGAAAACACGGGTGGTAGACTAATAGCGAGGTTCTCTGTTAGAGGCAGCAGGCCCAGAAGGGTAGGATGGGACCTCCATGGGGTAATCTGCACCTGCCAGCTTTCCTCAAGGGTTTACTGAGAGCCCCTAGACTCCGCCCTCAAGAGAAAAAAGAACATTTAAAGAAGGGAATGGTTAAGTTAGCAGTGCAATAACTTAGTTACTGATCCACATGGAGGAAGAAACCTCTGATTCTGGATGGTGCCATTGCCTGGGGTGTTGTAGGCTAACAGCTGCAGACTTGCCAAGGTTAGGTGACTGACCAGTGGAGCAGTCTGCACTTTTTGCAGGCTGCCTTAATTGCCATACTTGGTTGTGGTCTTACTACTGCCAGCACCACATTAAGCTCTTTACATAAGTTATTTAATCTTCCTAGGATCATTTTACAAATGATGATGTTGAGGTTTAATTCCTTAGGAAACACCAGTCCTCCGTTTTTTAAAGCTTGAAAGACATTTTGGATTTTGACCCAAGAAAACCTGAATAGTTCAGCACAAAGTTAGGTTAGAGTTAAATATGGGCAGAAATCAGAGTTCTGGCTGGACAGGATAAGAGTTGAAGACATCCATTGATTTAAAAATAACTTAAGATTCTGAATTGATTCAGAAGTGTAACCTAGGAAAACAGGAGTCCTGCTCATTTAAGGAAGTGTCACTTAATAGGCCTAAGTAATCAGTGAGTATTTTAACCTTTAGCATATTAGAAAACATTCACTAATGAGTGAGAAGGGTTCAAGTCCTGGCTTTACCACTACCATAATTTCAAGGCTGGTTTTTAGATAATGTTTTTAGTGTAGCTAAGAATCATTTGGGAAGCTTGTTTGAAATACAGGGTTCTTGTGCCTTAATCCCAGAGATCTTGACCAGGGGGTCTAAGGTGGGACCCAGGAATATACTTTTTTTTAAGTCCTCATCGGAGGATATTTTTTTCCATTGCTTTTCAGAGACAGTGGGAGAGAGAGAGA